TCGTGTACCATGCGGGTTTATTTGAATGCATTGGGAATTCATGATAAATGGCAGGTGTTGAATCTTCTGCACCTGTTGGAGACACTAAACTATGAAATATTTCTGTTTATGGTAGTCTGAAGGCTCAGAATCTAGCTATGCTTAAAGTTAATAACTTACAGCCTCTATACATATTCTAAGTTCTGTTAACTTCAATAAGTCAGAATCATGTGTTAGTGCTTGGTATTTAACTGTTTAATCCTTCCTTAGAAGGTAAATTGGCTTCCTTTAAAGTGACTGTCGAACTTCATTTCTTTACTTTTCTGTACCAAAACCCAAAATAATCCTTGGGATGTGCCTTTCATAGATAACATCTGGTGGAAGTTAACTGCAAAGTTAACTTCATTGAATAGATGCAGAACCTCAAAATAGCTACCCAAAGACTGCTGTGAGCATTTCACGTTGTACATGACCTAAATAAGTTAAGCTTCAATAAAAGAGAGGAATTCTAGTGCTAGTAAGTGGGATACGTGCTACAAGTACACGCTGCACATCTTGGCCCCTCACAGTCGGTTACAATTCCAGTGCATTTGCTTTGTGGATTCTGTTCCAGTATCTTCATAACTCATTTGTATGTCGTGTTTAAAAAAAAAAGGGAACTAGTCCATCAGTACAGCAGCAGTTCATATGCTGGCCTTGAACTGGGGGGGAAGGTTTATCTGCAGACTTGTTGGTTTAATGCTGCTGTATTCACAACAAACTTTATGCTAAGTCATTAGTGACCAAGTCATTGATGAGTTGATAGAACTGGAGGAAAAACCCTCTCATGAACTAAAAGCAACTCATCAGGAATGAGCTGTCTGCATGTTTAGTAAACTTTACTCATTCAGCTTCATTTTACTCACGAGTAAACTTACATTTGTTCTTTAACTAGAATAACTTTCAGACCATACTCTCATTTTTTTTTCCCTGTGTACTGTGATGGCATTAACACCACAGAAAATATTTTTGTCATTCGATGTGACATGAGGTTATCTTTCTTCTAGGTGGTTCTCCATATGTAGCAGCCAAAATCAATGAAGCTAAAGACTTACTGGAAGACCAAGCTAAAAAATGAATGAGAGGAAATCAGAGGGTTTGTCCATGCAAATGATTATTTTTGATAAATGGTTTAAGAAAAGCTCTAATATCAGCCTTTGACTTAGTATAAATGAAGCTGGAAACATGAAGCCTGGGAGGTCCTTCCCTCCCCACTCACTTCTTCGTCACTTCTTGGGGAAACACCTGAGGGAGCGAGGCTTAATGTTCTTTTTTTCATAGCTGTTTTTTTAAGCAGCAAAATCTGCCTCTCAGAAATATTTTCCATGTTAAAGAGTAATAACTTGGTTTGGCCCATGCATGTTACCAGATACAAACAGACTTACATGCTGTTACCTATCTGCTGTTAAACTAGCTCTGTTTGAATTTCCTGCTGCTGTTCTTTCGTAGGCCACAGTTGGCATGATGAAGGGGTTTGGGGAGGGGGTGGTGAAAATCAAGAGGACTTATTTGACAGGAAGAATTGGGACAGATGTGGTGTTGTCTGACTGAAGAAATAAAGTACAGGAAACAATGTACTCACTCAGTTGTCTTTGCCTTGTGATAAACAAGGTTGGTTGAGCTTCTTAAGTGTTACTGATGGATCTGGAACGTCCCAGATTTTTTAGTAACTTTCAGTTTTTAATGGATTTTATAGCCTTTAATAAATTCCAAGTTTGTAATGTAAGTACTGTAGTGTTATACATTATCTTACATGACAAAATTAGAAATCACATAATAAGGTTTGCATTAGTAGTAATTAGGAAACAGGAACTCTCTACATAAGCCATGGAAGATACCCAAGCTGGATGTATGATGCTGCATGAAGCCTAACGTACCCCAGCAGATGTCTTTGTAAGTATCTGAATTAGGGCCCAAGAGTTCTCTCATACTCCACCGGTCTTTCTGCAACTACAGTAAAACTGTAGTAGAGCACATGTAAGTGTTGACCCCCTCTGTTCATAAATACAGTGGATCTCAGAGCTTTCACTTGTACAGAACAAGCCTCTACTTCAGAGTAGCAGAAGTCTTATATCCTGTGTGAACATTGGCTGCCATGTTGCTGGGTAGGTACAGGCCCCTTAGTATTACCAGAACAACAGTAAGGAAGAGTTCGGTGCCTTCAGAAGAGAGGATGAAATCAGTAACAGGAGTATAAAATAGAAAACCTTTAGAACCCACAGAGAAAGAGGGATAACTTTGCTTAAAGTGGGGTGGAAAACCAGCTGGAATGTTACCATGCAGCAGTTCCACATTGCATGTTCCAAGCCATATGTGGAATGTTACTGTACTTAAGTTTTTTCCTGCCAAATAATACTGTCTTTTAAAATATAGCTCCTTTTTTTTTTTTCCTTCCCTGTTTTTTAAGTTTTCTCCACTCTGCCTTATCAGTTGAGATGCCTGTGCACGCTTCAGAGTTCTAACAATTTAACTGTGTTTGTTCTCCAGGAGGGAACACTGTTGCTGAGCATCAACACTTAAGTCGCATTAAAAACACACATCTCCTTAAACGAAATACACACGCAAACCCAGCTGGCACAGCGTGCCCATAGGGGTAACGGGTAGAGCAGCTGGAGTCACAGGTGGTTGAGTGCTTGTTTTGTCCTTGCTCGCTTCGGATGAAACCAGGTAAGAGGTTTTTTTCTCTCAAGTCAGCACAACTTTAGCACTACCTGTTTGCTGTCACTTCTGCCATCTTGCTACCCAGATGTTTTCCACACTCGTTTTCTGGTTCATTGCTCTTGCTCATGTGCCTGAAAAGATGGGTTAGTGGGTCACGCTTCTGACTTCTCAGTCAAAAACTACATCTGCATTAACTGCTATATATGTTAGTCACATTTGGTGATTCTCCAAGATCAGAAGTCTGTTTTTAGACTTGTTAACTGGTATTTTACATCATCACCTTAAAGAAGGGAAGGTTAGCGTGTTAGAAAACTCTTTCATAAGAGTTAAAGGTTCAAGCTGCCTTGCAAGTAAGTTTCAATTGTTAGTGTTAACAGCTTGAAAACCTTAAAGTAAATAGTGATTTAAATTTCTGATAGAAACAGTCAACAGATGGAAGATCAAAGTTTATTTTCTTTTACTACCAGCATACAAAAAAAACATATTGCACATCAAACAACCAAAACAAAAATAAAAATACTCTACTAAGGACTAACATATGTAGTTTATACAGAATAAACTTTCTGGAAATTGATCTTTTCAGTAGTTCAGGTTATGTCTTAATGGACATGACTAATTCAGCTTAGTGTTAACTAAAGCTATGTTTGATTTTTAAATACTGTACAGTTTAATAAATAAACCAAACAAAGCCTCAATGTAGAACAGTCACTGCCAATGTCACCCAGTATCCCTGCAGATTATGAGAATTTAACAAATGTATTCCAGTGGTCTGCAGATTTTTCCTCTACATACAGCATTTAAAAAACATGTATTAAAACAGACCAGTTTCCAGACTAAACTAATGGAGAAATTACATTTCAGTGCAAAATATTTTAGACTGCATTTCGTTCTAGTATTCCTCAGGTGAAGAAGTGGTTGCATATTATTAAAAATGTAACAAAAGCAGCTAATGCTTTCATAAAGAGTATTATGTTAGGGATCCCCCTCACATCTTTGCCATATTTTGAAAACAAAATAACATTTCCTATAGCCAGCAATTTTGTTTATTTAAATGTTACATATACTATCTCAAGGCACATCTGATGATATATTTATAACACAGTAGGTGTCAAAGTATGTTTAACATATGATTTCTTCAGGATCCCTCCCCTTTCTGTATTCCAAAATGGAGGAACTGAAAGTGCGGTGTCAAGACTGGCGATCCATATTCTATCTTTGGCAAGCTTATACAAGCACTATTTTAAATGTAATGTAAAAGAACTGTAAACTAGGAACTTCAGTTTATGAAACACCATTCAGCACTGCTTCTTCCTGATTATTTCCATCCTCTTGAACAGTAACTTTCTTTTCATCAGGACTGTGCTGTAGTTTAGAAGGCTCATCCCCAGAAGCTGTAGCAGGGCCATTCACTGCCTTTTCGGAAGGGCTGTTTTCATCAATCGCCTCTTTTGCCTTGCAGAACCAAAAACAGGATAATATTAAAAAGTCCATAAAAACATACAGACTGTAATCAAAGTTTCCCTCTGGCTCACACAGCAACTCTGCAATAGGAAGCACATCCTCTCTGTCTGTGCCAGCATCCTACTCCTTATCTTGTCGTTTAGAGGGTACTTCTGTGTCAGGCACTTCCGAAGAAGTCATGCGAGGTAACCCAGCATGTTTCATTTCCCAATTTCCATTTTTCTAAGCCAATGAAGAAGTTCACTGCAAAGCTGAGTTTTACGCCCTTTTCAAAGTCTATAGTAAGATCAGATTTTGTTAATCATATAGCAGTGTATCTTTCTTATTTTGCTAAACTCAGACTTAACTTGTGGCAGCAAGTTCAACGTTCACGTTAGAAGTAAAAGAATTCTGCTTTATTCAGTTCTGAATGTTACTTTTTTATGATGTGTAAAGCCACTCTGATCCTTTAAGGAGAACAGATCTCAAATCTACAATCTTTGTACCATTAATTCTTTCGAAAATAGTTTGTGCAAGTCACTAAACATGGTACCTAGCATCCGCTATTTATTAAGGGTTAGTTCTCAATATTCATTCACAGGTAAATGTCACTTTTTTTTATGCAATGCTACATTGGTAAGTGTAATTTTTTTAAAATGCATAAAGACAATTTGAACATTACACTGGTCACTAAAGTCTGCAGTAGTAGTCTGAGTCCATGTCAGTTCTGTTTATACTGGGCCATTTTTGCTGTTAAGGATTTATTCTTTAACTCAAATGCATTTGTAGTCAAATGAGGGCGATCTACATGAAGCATTCCTTTATTGTTTTGCTGCAAGTGAAGAGGAAAAAAGGAAACATTAAAAAAACGAAAAGTCATCTTACCGTTTCTTTCTTGGTTTTGGCTAGCGTCTCCTTTGGAGGGTTTCTCTGTCTACTTTGAGATTCAGCTCGTGATATATAATCAGCTACTGTTACTGTTCAAGGAAAAAAAATTACAGTGATGCTCACATTAGAAGTCTAATTCAGCATTAAGCTTCATATGTCTTTTCTATACAAGTTATGCTATAACTAGGAGACATCTCACAAAAGGCCTTCACGCTTAACAGCTATCAACTACAGAGCAAGGATCAATTTGTCTGTTATTAAACACAATTTTCACTAAAATCAGTGGTGACAGGATGATCTGAAGGTAGAATGCTAATGTTCATAAAATAGTAATTTTGGTCCAGTTGTAAATTTTATTGAAAAATAAGGGCTTTCTGTACTGGGTTTGAAGAGCTCAGACTGTGGGCTCTTTAAACTATAGACTGTTTGTCATTGGGGTTTTACTGTCTTGAGTAGTGAGGAATTTCACACTAATGAAATGAAGGCAAGTTAAAATATGAAAAGAACTGGGGGAAGTCTGAAGTATGGTATCACTTACGATAAAGCAGCATTCAGATCTTTGTTACTGCATGAAGCAACTGGCAAGAGAACTCACTCGCCCTCCTCCTGGTGTTCAAAATGCAATCCACATAGTTAACGCTGGCTGGTGGGTGGGTGGGTTAATTGTGTGTGTACAGACACTTGAGGTGGCTCTGCATGAGCAAGGCTGTGCTCAAAAGCAGGACAGCCACATTTGCACTGTTATGGCTACGTTTACTGGATGCCAGCCAGGGCTTTTCTGACCTCTTTTCTTCTTACCACCTCAGCACATGTTCTTGGAGCCTGGTTTTGTCTTATCCTGCTCTCTTAGAACCACACCACTTGAGAGTCAATTCAATCTTTAGAATACATAGTACTGCAAATTCAAACATACACTTCATCTTTGATGAGCTAAAGCACATGAGAGTTGGCAAGCATTATCTACTGAGCAGTACAATCAGTTGTATTTAGTATATCATGCATTCAGGTGAACTATTTGTCTGGATTTAGGAACGACTGTGCATGAAACCTACATCAGAATAGGAAGTACAGCACATGAATCTTCCAGGA